ATGCGTCAGGGGGGAATCGAACCCCCGTCGATTGCTTGGAAGGCAACCATGCTGACCATTACACCACTGACGCGTCCGTAGACGTGTAATTGCACGTGTCAATAACCAATTTCAAGTTATATTTGACTTTGGAATGATAATTGACATACTGAGAAAGTCCACTATTGTGCAAACGTATAATAATTGCAATAAGTGTAAAGACAACGTAAGCGTATTCGAAGATAGCAACGGCCGTACAACCACCACGAATAAGACAGGAAGACAAACAACACAATGGCTCTAACTCCAAATGACGGTCGCAAATCCTGAAGGTATAAGGAATATTCCCGGAATGAGAGTGAATACCGAAAATGAAATGATTTTAGTAATCGGCAACTTCAACGAAACTGATCTTTTTGTAAATTATGGTGAGAATAAATATAAAACATTTACTTGAAGTCGAATGGTACTACTTTGTTTTTTTTCTTCTGCAGAGAAATTAGATTTCCGTTTGCGACCATTGGTGTTTTCCGTTTCATTACTGACCGATCTTCTGGTGAATTCCGCGACAATACTACAATTGCCAATGACTTGAGATATTTTCATGTGATAAAATTAGATGTAAGGGAAAATTATGTGCAGATTTCGAAATTCTCGTGGACAAAGTGACCTCCGAGATTATTGATTCCTCGTGATGAACTCTGCTCACATCTGAATTTGACATTCAGATTTTGTGTCTACATTAACAGTCAAGCATGATTTCATAGGATGGATTTCCTAAGATATTTCCGGAACGAATAAAGAGAATAATGAATGACTTACCTGAATGACGACAGTAATAGAGGAAATGTTGCAACCATTTAGGTACTAACCATTGCAGCACCACAAAACACCGCCTTCTGTGTCTTCCATGAACCGCGGTAGATTCTATGTTATCACCTGACACCACCTGCTAATGCTGCTCAATTATTCATCAGTTTTTTCATCCATCCATTCTTAGCCGTAACAACATTTCGACGGTACCACTAATGGATCATTTTAAGAAGTACACGCACTAATTAGCTATTTTAATGATATGCACTGAAAATGATTTAATTTGTCCTATCAGACAGAACCGAATGAAGTTTTAGCTAATGATGAATGGATTGAACAGGAAGGATGTAATGCGCACTTACTTGTTGACTGATTCCTTTTGTGACATCTTTTTCACCTGTCGTCGGTGTTCTCTCTTCTTCCACCCAAAACATACGGCACCTAAAACAATGCTAATCATATAAACATATAAATATAAAATGGCAATAAATTGTGACGGAAAACGATCCTTCCACCATAAATGTAGAGCCAATTATCGTAATCCATAAATCATTCCTTCAGTTTTATTTCCCACATTCTTCACTTCCGTAAACTCTCCATGATCTTCATTAATTAATGAAATAACAAGCGAATAATTCATTGATTCCCTCACACCTTTCTTACCTTATCGAACGACATTAACTTCATATTATATGGGTTCTCAGTAAAAAAGTGATATGGCCGTCGGGCTAACGCCTTCATTGCCTGTAAAAAGACATTTCCGGAATCAAATGGGTTATTAGAGGCTAATTGCTCGGCAACCATAAGGCAATTCACGCTTTAACTAATCCTTAAAACAGAAATATTTCGCCTTTGAGAAAATTTTAAAAGCTTATTCAGACTTCATTCACAGTGAACGAGCGAACTTAAATTGCTGCTATACTTCAAATTTTCTTTTATTCATGTAAAATTTTCCTACCAAACATTCTTACCGGAAACTTTGAAACTAACATTAATGTTAAATTCTGTACGCAAAAAAGGCACTGTTCTTCATTTTATCTCACTTCTAGTGGATTGAAAAAAGAAATTGAAAGAATTTCAATGTGGACTTTGACTTCATAATATTTTCATCCATAAATTATCTTATCTCTTTTACACAAATAAATTTATGAAATAAATTTACAAATAAATTTATAAGTAGGAGTAAAAATACCGTATAAATCAATCCCTCCATTTGTAAATTTATGTGAAAAATTGAGATACAGAGCAGTGCTCTTTTTTTACATTCACAGTTTTATATTACTGTTAATTCTCTATTAACATTTTGACAATATTTTACATTTCATTTTTCAAGTATTTCATCTCATCGATTATCTCCCCAATTACTCTCTTTTTTCCTCCAACTGTTAAAATTCATAGAAACAACGATGCTGTGTATGCAATAACCGTACAATAATTTGATCTCTTAGACTTTTAAAATTTTTTCAAAGGTAAAATATTTCCATTTTAAGGATTAGTTAAAGCGTGAATTGCTTTTGGTTGCCGAGCAATTGGCCTCTAATAACCCATTTGATTCCGGAAATGTCTTTTTACAGGCAATGAAGGCGTTAGCCCGACGGCCATATCACTTTTTTACTGAGAACCCATATAATATGAAGTTAATGTCGTTCGATAAGGTAAGAAAGGTGTGAGGGAATCAATGAATTATTCGCTTGTTATTTCATTAATTAATGAAGATCATGGAGAGTTTACGGAAGTGAAGAATGTGGGAAATAAAACTGAAGGAATGATTTATGGATTACGATAATTGGCTCTACATTTATGGTGGAAGGATCGTTTTCCGTCACAATTTATTGCCATTTTATATTTATATGTTTATATGATTAGCATTGTTTTAGGTGCCGTATGTTTTGGGTGGAAGAAGAGAGAACACCGACGACAGGTGAAAAAGATGTCACAAAAGGAATCAGTCAACAAGTAAGTGCGCATTACATCCTTCCTGTTCAATCCATTCATCATTAGCTAAAACTTCATTCGGTTCTGTCTGATAGGACAAATTAAATCATTTTCAGTGCATATCATTAAAATAGCTAATTAGTGCGTGTACTTCTTAAAATGATCCATTAGTGGTACCGTCGAAATGTTGTTACGGCTAAGAATGGATGGATGAAAAAACTGATGAATAATTGAGCAGCATTAGCAGGTGGTGTCAGGTGATAACATAGAATCTACCGCGGTTCATGGAAGACACAGAAGGCGGTGTTTTGTGGTGCTGCAATGGTTAGTACCTAAATGGTTGCAACATTTCCTCTATTACTGTCGTCATTCAGGTAAGTCATTCATTATTCTCTTTATTCGTTCCGGAAATATCTTAGGAAATCCATCCTATGAAATCATGCTTGACTGTTAATGTAGACACAAAATCTGAATGTCAAATTCAGATGTGAGCAGAGTTCATCACGAGGAATCAATAATCTCGGAGGTCACTTTGTCCACGAGAATTTCGAAATCTGCACATAATTTTCCCTTACATCTAATTTTATCACATGAAAATATCTCAAGTCATTGGCAATTGTAGTATTGTCGCGGAATTCACCAGAAGATCGGTCAGTAATGAAACGGAAAACACCAATGGTCGCAAACGGAAATCTAATTTCTCTGCAGAAGAAAAAAAACAAAGTAGTACCATTCGACTTCAAGTAAATGTTTTATATTTATTCTCACCATAATTTACAAAAAGATCAGTTTCGTTGAAGTTGCCGATTACTAAAATCATTTCATTTTCGGTATTCACTCTCATTCCGGGAATATTCCTTATACCTTCAGGATTTGCGACCGTCATTTGGAGTTAGAGCCATTGTGTTGTTTGTCTTCCTGTCTTATTCGTGGTGGTTGTACGGCCGTTGCTATCTTCGAATACGCTTACGTTGTCTTTACACTTATTGCAATTATTATACGTTTGCACAATAGTGGACTTTCTCAGTATGTCAATTATCATTCCAAAGTCAAATATAACTTGAAATTGGTTATTGACACGTGCAATTACACGTCTACGGACGCGTCAGTGGTGTAATGGTCAGCATGGTTGCCTTCCAAGCAATCGACGGGGGTTCGATTCCCCCCTGACGCAT